GCAGAAATTTTAGAAGGACTTATTCTCGAGGTTATTGAACCCTATGAATCGATTGGTGATACCAGTTTAGTCTCTAAAAATCACGTTCCAGAGTTGACTGCCACCCATGTCATGGTGCCCTATCCAAAGATCGATTTACTAGCGCACGATATGTCACATTTGCTACTAGCTAGGACTCATTTTCGAGGTTAGGGAACACTATGAATCGATTGGTAATACCAGTTTAGTCTCTAAAAATCATGTTCCAGAGTTGACTACCACTCCTGTCGTGGTGCCCTATCCAAAGATCGATCTACTAGCCCATGATACGGCACATATGTCATTAGCTAGGACTCATTCTCGAGGGAATTGAACCATATGAATCGATTGGTGATACCAGTTTAGTCTCTAAAAATCATGTTCCAGAGTTGACTACCACTCCTGTCGTGGTGCCCTATCCAAAGATCGATCTACTAGCCCATGATACGGCACATATGTCATTAGCTAGGACTCATTCTCGAGATTATTGAACCCTATGAATCGATTGGTGATACAAGTTTAGTCTCTAAAAATCACGTTCCAGAGTTGACTGTCACCTATGTTATGGTGCCCTATCCAAAGATTGATTTACTAGCGCACGATATGTCACATTTGTTATTAGCTAGGACTTATTCTCGAGGGTATTGAACCCTATGAATCGATTGGTGATACCAGGTTAGTCTCTAAAAATCACGTTCCAGAGTTGACTGCCACCCATGTCATGGTGCCCTATCCAAAGATCGATTTACTAGCCCACGATATGTCACATTTGTTATTAGCTAGGACTCATTCTCGAGGTTATTTAACCCTTTGAATCGATTGGTGATATCAGTTTTGTCCCTAACAATCATGTTCCAAAGTTGAGTGCCACCCCTGTCATGGTGCCCTACTCAAAGATCGATTTTTTCAGCTTTCATATTCCTTGCCTGGCTTTAATTAGGAATCTTTCTGAAAGTCATCAAACCATATAAACACGATGGTCATGCCAGATTTGTCTCTAAAAATCATATTCCACAGTTGACCACCCCTGTCATGGTGCCCTATCCAAAGATCGATTCACTAGCCCTTGATATGTCACATTTGTCATTAACTAGGACTCATGATCGAGGTGATTGAACCCTATGAATGCATTGGTGATACTATTTTTGTCTCTGACAATCATGTTCCAAAGTTGAGTACCAGCCCTATCATGATGCCCTATCCAAAGATCGATTTTTTCAGCCTTCACATGGCTTGCCTGGCTTTCACTAGGAATCTTTGTGAAGGTTATTAAACCATATAAACACGATGGTCATGCCAGATTTGTCTCTAAAAATCATATTCCGCAGTTGACCACCCCTGTCATGGTGCCCCACCCAAAGATCGATTTTTTCAGCCTTCATATGACTTGCCTGGCTTTAACTTGGAAGCTTTCTGAATGTTATTCAACCATACAAACACGATGGTCATGCCATATTTGTCTCTAAAAATCATGTTCCAGAGTTGACTGCCACTCCTATCATAATACCCTATCCAAAGATCAATTCACTAGCCCATGATACGGCACATATGTCATTAGCTAGGACTCATTCTCGAGGTTATTGAACCCTATGAATCGATTGGTGATACCAGTTTAGTCTCTAAAAATCACGTTCCAGAGTTGACTGCCACCCATGTCATGGTGCCCTATCCAAAGATCGATTTACTAGCCCATGATATGTCACATGTGTTATTAGCTAGGACTCATTCTCGAGGTTATTTAACCTTTTGAATCGATTGGTGATATCAGTTTTGTCCCTAACATTCATGTTCCAAAGTTGAGTGCCACCCCTGTCATGGTGCCCTACTCAAAGATCGATTTTTTCAGCTTTCATATTCCTTGCCTGGCTTTAATTAGGAATCTTTCTGAAAGTCATCAAACCATATAAACACGATGGTCATGCCAGATTTGTCTCTAAAAATCATATTCCACAGTTGACCACCCCTGTCATGCTGCTCTACCCAAAGATCAAATTACTAGCCCGTGATATGATACATTTGTTATTAACTAGGACTCATTATCGAGGTTATTGAACCATATTAAATGATTGGTGATACAAGTTTGGTCTCTAAAGATCATGTTCCAGGGTTGAGTACCACCCCTGTCATGGTGCCCTACCCAAAGATCGATTTACTAGCCCATGATATGTCACATTTGTTATTAACTAGGACTCATTCTAGAGGTTATTGAACCATATCAATCGATTGGTGATACCAGTTTGGTCCCTAAAGATCATGTTCCAGAGTTGACTACCACCCCTGTCATGGTGCCCTATCCAAAGATCGATTTACTAGCGCACGATATGTCACATTTGTTATTAGCCAGGACTCATTCTCGAGGTTATTGAACCCTATAAATCGATTGGTGATATCAGTTTTGTCTCTAACAATCATGTTTCAAAGTTGAGTAAACCGCTCCTATCATGCTGCCCTACCCACAGATTGACCTACTAGCCCTTCATATGATACATCTGTCATTTACTAGGACTCATTATTGATATTATTGAACCATATTAATGCATTGGAGATGCCAGTTTGGTCTCTAAAGATCATGTTCCACAGTTGACCACCCCTGTCATGGTGCCCTATCCAAAGATCGATTCACTAGCCCTTGATATGTCACATTTGTCATTAACTAGGACTCATGATCGAGGTTATTGAACCCTATGAATGCATTGGTGATACTATTTTTGTCTCTGACAATCATGTTCCAAAGTTGAGTACCAGCCCTATCATGATGCCTTATCCAAAGATCGATTTTTTCAGCCTTCACATGACTTGCCTGGCTTTCACTAGGAATCTTTCTGAATGTTATCAAACCATATAAACACGATGGTCATGCCAGATTTGTGTCTAAAAATCATATTCCACAGTTGGCCACCCCTGTCATAGTGCCCTACCCAATGATCGATTTTTTTAGCCTTCACATGACTTGCCTAGCTTTCACTAGGAACCTTTCTGAATGTTATCAAACCATATAAACAAGATGGTCATGCCAGATTTGTCTCTAAAAATCATATTCCACAGTTGACCACCCCTGTCATGGTGCCCTATCCCAAGATCGATTTTTTCAGCCTTCACATGACTTGCCTGGCTTTCACTAGGAATCTTTCTGAATGTTATCAAACCATATAAACACGATGGTCATGCCAGATTTGTGTCTAAAAATCATATTCCACAGTTGGCCACCCCTGTCATAGTGCCCTACCCAATGATCGATTTTTTTAGCCTTCACATGACTTGCCTAGCTTTCACTAGGAACCTTTCTGAATGTTATCAAACCATATAAACAAGATGGTCATGCCAGATTTGTCTCTAAAAATCATATTCCACAGTTGACCACCCCTGTCATGGTGCCCTATCCCAAGATCGATTTTTTCAGCCTTCACATGACTTGCCTGGCTTTCACTAGGAACCTTTCTGAATGTTATCAAACCATATAAACACGATGGTCATGCCAGATTTGTGTCTAAAAATCATATTCCACAGTTGGCCACCCCTGTCATAGTGCCCTACCCAATGATCGATTTTTTTAGCCTTCACATGACTTGCCTAGCTTTCACTAGGAACCTTTCTGAATGTTATCAAACCATATAAACAAGATGGTCATGCCAGATTTGTCTCTAAAAATCATATTCCACAGTTGACCACCCCTGTCATGGTGCCCTATCCCAAGATCGATTTTTTCAGCCTTCACATGACTTGCCTGGCTTTCACTAGGAACCTTTCTGAATGTTATTAAACCATACAAACACGATGGTCATGCCAGATTTGTCTCTAAAGATCATGTTCCACAGTTGACCACCCCTGTCATGGTGCCCCACCCAAAGATCGATTTTTTCAGCCCTCATATGACTTGCCTGGCTTTAGATAGGATTGATTCTAGAGGTTATTGGACCATATGAACACGATGGTCGAGCCAGACTTCGCTCTAAAAATCATGTTTCAAAGTTGACCACCCCTGCCATGCTGCCCCACCCAAAGATTGATTTTTTCAGCCTTCATATGACTTGCCTGGCTTTAGCTAGGATTCATTCTAGAGGTTATTTGACCATATGAACACGATGGTCGAGCCAGATTTCGCTCTAAAAATCATGTTCCAAAGTTGACCACCCCTGTCATGCTGCCCCACCCAAAGATCGATTTTTCTAGCCTTCATGTGACTTGCCTGTCCTTCAGAACTATTTTTCCTGGGGGTTCTTGAGCCCTCTGAACACGATGGTCATGCCAGATTTCCCTGGAAAAATCATATTCCTGAGATATACAAGGTCCTCCTCCCCCCCTGATCACCTTTATGTCACTATTCCGATATTGCACCTCAATAACGATATTGAAAACAATGTAACTGAGGTTATTGAGGCCTAGGAATCGATTGGTGATGGTCCCAGAGCATCCAGAGGTCGACAATGATGTGATATGTCAGGTGGGCTGAAAAGTCAGTATTTTGACAATATCTCCACAACCCAACCGCCGTTTTCTTTCATTGTTGGCTCATATCATTCCTAGAAGTGCCCTCCAAGATATGTACCAGCCCACAAGAAGGAATTTTTTTTCAAGTTTGAAATGTATTTCTGAAATGACCATATAAATGCTTGACGTTGAGGCGAAAACCTCGTTCCGACTTGGATTGATTTTGCTTGATTTTTCGCGTTTTATTGGTATTGGGATGCTTGATGTTGAGGCGAAAACCTCGTTCTGACTTGGGTTGATTTTGCTTGATTTTTGGTATTTTATTGCTATGGCAGTCTCTTGTTATCGTATGGCTTGTCTTGATATAGCATGGTACCGAGAAACGAGACACCGAGAGAATACGTCCTTATCCTAACCAACGAGAAAGCTAACCCCGAACCTAATCTAACCCGGTGGGGGGTGGTTTTCTAACCCTCTCTAACAGGTGGGGGGCGGGGGGGTCTAACGACTCTAACGTCGTACGTTGACTTGACTATCGTATCGTACGGTAGTCTCTAACCTAACCTAACCAACGCACCTTGCTTTCCGTAGCCTTGTCTTCGAGGATGATCAACAGCCGACTGAATTGAGTCCCTGTAGCGCACATCACCAGGTTGCTCATAATGCAGTCCAACCCACGTGCTCACGCAAAAAAGTACGATGTATGCGAGAAGTTGTATCCACCACCATTTGGGATGCGGCACCACAAGATGCGCAGTAGGAGACACTGGTCTAGAGCGCTCACTACCTTCTTCGACATTTTCCAGCAGCGCATTTTCTTCCTCGGCAGCGTCGAATAGTTCAGTTGGTGCGTCGGTGGTGCCATTTCGCTGGAGCATGACATACCCTTGCTGAGAAAGGTTCATGCCTCCGACCGTCCCATTCCATCGGTTGATGAGCAGGGGAAGTAGAAATCGCGATACTTGAATGAAGGCAAAGATGGGGACTACGAAGAGAAGCAGAAGTAGGAACCTCCAGCTTAAGGGGAAAGCGGGTCGCCATCCAGAGAATCCCCAAAAGAACGCCACGGAAAACACCATCTCAGTTATGATGTAAAGCGCAACGAGGATCGAGAAGGAGAGGAGACCAGGATTGCGTGAAATTGAGTGAAAACCTGCGAGAGATAATGTGGAGAATGACCTTTGGAGTTGGGCAGACATGAGCGACTCTGAATTTTCTGGGGAGAAAAGACATGAATGAAGGCAGTGGAATTGGTGCTCACCACTCAGGCTATATCACGTTCATTTAGTATGCCGAACCATAGGCCGAGAACGTCTTGCTGCGCTTTTGAGATCACAGGTATGAGTTTGTGTTGCCGTTTCCATCTAATCACCGCTTCTTGAAATTCTCAGCCACTATCATATATAATTGAACCCATTACGAGAAGTCTTCAGTCTCAAACGTTGGCTCGGGACTCCCGTCTCGATTGACTCTCAAATCTCGAATCTCAACGACCTTCACTTTTTCTAAGCTCATTATTGCGGTGACCTAGATGTGTATAGCTTTGGCACCGACGGTCGACCAGACTCGACCAGGGCATAAAGTTCTCAGCCCATTTTCACACCCCGGGGCCTCAGTACTAGTGAAGCTGAGTAATGCTCCAATATTCTGAGCTTCTGAGCTTCCAAGTTCTCAGCTGAATTCGAATTCGCTGATTGAGTCAACTGCGTCATCTTTTGCCTATATCGGTGCCTACCTCAGCGAGCTCGGTTCTCTGCTCACTTATTATCTCTTATTTATTTGCAACTCTTTCTTCCAGCAAAACCGCCACCATCTGCTTTTTTCCCACGGTTCAACAGAACATGGGCGACGAGCCAGGAGGCAGTATAAGCATAGCTAGAAACCTTGACAAACGTATATCAGCAAGAACATATTCACAAGCAGCATCCCTTAGTAACACCAGACAACATATGAAGGAGTTCCAGCAACGTCGGGCGTGGGATGAATCAGAGCCCAACGATCCCCTCCCACCCCCAGAATTCCCATACAGACCAACCAATGCCAGCTACACGCCAATCACACCCACACGTAGAGGGTTAGGATACAAACGTAGACTGGAAACAACCACTTCTCCATCGGCCTCACCAAACACCGCGAGACAGACCAAACGCCGTCCTACAGAACACGTGGCTATGGTAAACGATGTAGCCCAACGCGAATACGACTCGGAAATGGAGACGGACATCTACAGTGAAACCTGTTCGGAGCAAGGATGGATCGCTGACTTAAACCATCATCTTATCAAAGCCGCAGAGGCATTAGACAACATATCAATCCACGCTAAGTTCCCAGATAACATACTTACCGCTGCTCAAAGAATTACACAGGCCATCCTACCCCCTAAACCGGTTGAAACACCAAGAAACAATCCTGACGACATAATGCCGATCCTCAACCAACTCGTCAAAGACGTCCAGGAACTACGACAAAGCAATAAACCGGAAACCAGTCAAAACCCCCGTACTCAAATCGCAAATGGCCCCACCATAACTCCTACTCTGAAGACCAAGACAAACTCAACTAAGATAACAGAACAAGAGAACCGACGCCGAAACAACCCGTTAACCCGACACCACCCCTCTAGACTCATTCTCCACATCGAAACTCCTCCGGACCCTACACAACGCCAAAAGGACCGAGGATTAGTAGAAGCGATCAATGAAAGACTCAAGGAGGTCACAAAAGTTACGGTCAACGGCATAAAATGGAACACCAAAGGTAACTGTATCGTTATTACACATCCGGATTACACAGCAGATGACTTGCTTCCATTCAAAGACGCCTTCGCAGACTTAATTGTCGGAAACTCCAACTATGCAGCCACACCAGACAAGGAATGGTTCCGTGTTCTTCTCAACAGTGTAGACACAGGGAAGTCCGATGCCGAAGACATGATGGAATTTGAACCACGATCCGGAGCAGAAGTAATCTATGAGATGAAAACTAACAACCCCAGTGTACGCAACATCAACTTCACGGCAGAACCCTCGTGGATGGCGAAGCCGGAGACCCTTGAACACAAATACCACTCAACCATGCTGTTAACGGTCTCATCACAGGAAGAAATCGACTACCTTCTCAAACACGTCGGTGGAGTCTTCTTATATGGACGGTACACCTCTTTCTCGCGCTTCCAAGATTTGAAACCTGTTCGTCAGTGCAACCGATGCTGGTCCTTCGACCATCATACGTCCAAATGTATTAACCCCCCCAAGTGTCGAGTATGTGCAGGCGACCACACTGAATCATTCCATACCTGCGATTTGTGCCCTAACACGGCCAAAGCACAAAAAGGATGTGATCACTCACCGATTAAATGCGCAAACTGTGGAGAAGCGCACACGGCAGACTCAACCAAATGCCCCATTCATATACTAACCAAAGGATCTGCAAGAGACCCACGACCAAGTATCCAAGGGGGACGGCGCGCACGTCGACCTCAAACTGCTAACGATCCAATAGCACCTCCAGAGACCCGGACTCCAACCCCACCATCAACATCCCAGAACCATATCGTAACGCCACAACCAATGAACGACAACAATATGGATGGATGGCAATGATAGTCCATACTAAACCCATAAAAATGATTCAACTCAACACTAACCGTTCAAATATAGTCTGCCACGCATTACTCAACAACGCCGTCCGTGATTATGACATCCTGCTCATAACGGAACCATGGTATGGTGACATCGGAAATAACACAAAGGGCCCAGCGTCGTTAACCGGATGGCAACCAATCCTACCATTACCGTCTGTTCCCCCGAATGTCATTCCTCGAGTCATGGCATACATCAAAAACAGACCTGACTTCATGGTTACCCTTCGTTCTGATCTCGCAATGGATGCTGACATACAAATTTTACAGATCAACCAAGGAACACATCCGCCTACAATACTTGTAAATATGTACAACCAGAAAGCAGGCGAGGATCCATTGAACTGGTCAGCAGACCGTCTTTTCAACATCGAACTACCAAACGGAATACCGGTCATCATCTCGGGAGATATGAACCTACACCACCCAATGTGGTCAAACACAGCTGAGAACCCCAATCCTCGTGCAGAAGCTTTCGTTGACTGGCTAACTGACCAGGGATTCATCATGCTAAACGAACGTGGGGCAACAACATACTTCGCACACGACGGTGAATCCTCGTCGGTCTTGGACCTAACATTCATCAACGACAGAGCATACGAACTCGACACGATCAAGGACTGGTCAATCGACTACGGTAAAGCCTACGGATCAGACCACGCAGCGCTCACATGGACACTAGACCATGAACGTGTCCCCATCGAGAATATCACGGCTCAACGATTCAATTGGAAAGATATCGATGAAGACACGATCAAAGCATGGAAAGGAGCGTTCATGAGAGAATTGACGGATAGAGAAGACGCATGGATACCGCTACGTGTTTCAACTCTTCCTAATATTGATGATATTGAAAGAGCTACCACAGCGCTACAAGATGCACTGGTGCAAGCAACAGAAAGCTCGGTCCCCATCCGCAAATCTAGTGCACATGCGAAACCATGGTGGACTCCCGACCTCACGCAATCACTCAACCGCATTGCAGAAACTCGTGAAAGGGCTAGACAACATCTCATCGATACAGGTTTTGCTGACCACGACCTTATCCAACAGATCCGCCAACTACGCAATCAGTTCAAACGGAAGACACGCCTTGCTAAACGACAGTGGGCAAACGAGACTCTGGGAAAAGCCACTCCCGATGACGTCTGGAATTTCACTCGATGGCCCAAAGGGATAAGAAACTACCCCACGCCACCACTCAGACGAAACAACGGTCAAAACATGGCAATAACACATGAGGAAAAGTGTGCTACACTACGAGGTGAACTGTTCCAACCGCCCCCGAATCTAGACTTAGCTGCACCAGATTTAGAACAGGACCTCCCGGATGACATCCCATGGGAACCCATAACATATGCCGAAGTGAAGAATGGTATATACCGACCAAATCGCAAAAAAGCTCCTGGACCCAGCCAAATCAACTACATGGCTCTCCGATGGGCCTGGGAGGTTGCATCGGAATATATCTACTTACTAATCTCACGCTGCGCAAATGTAGGCTACCATCCCATCGCCTGGCGACGCACAATCGCAGTAGCCCTGCGCAAGCCCCGAAAACCAGACTATTCGAACCCGAGAGCCTATAGACTAATCCAGCTAGAGGAATGTCTTGGAAAAGTCCTCGAAAGCGTACAGGCAAGTAGATTAGCATATCTCACAGCAAAATATCTGCTGGTACCTTCTTCACAGTTCGGAGGTCGCCCAGGAAGCTCCACAGTCGACGCAGCCCTATCATTCGTTCATGATATCGAAGCAGCCCGTAATCACGGACTTGTCACGTCGTGCATCACATTCGACATCAAAGGATACTTCGAC